CCATTCAGCAAGCCAACTAAGCACTGAAGTCAGCACTGAAGTCTGTGCAATAGGAAAGGTGCAGTCTGAGTTGGTAGCCATGAAAGAGACTATCACAGGGGTGGCTGCTGTTCTGGGTCAGATTCAAACTGGGCACCTGGAGTTGCGGATCTCTTGAGCCATCCCAGTCTCTATCAAGCGTGGCCATTGGTGCAGCAAATTCCAGCACGCAAGATGTAGTAAATCCTGGCTTGTCTAGCTGTCTAATGCCTCCTGTTTCTGTCTTTGACTTAGCTACCCGCTGCTCAAGCTCCCATTACCTGGAACAGGACCTGTGGAGTACAGTACCCCTGTGAAGGACTACGCTCCACCTTCTTTGGCCTCCAGCCCCCGGCAAGGAGACCCCAATGAGAGACCCGATTGGGTAAGTCTGCACTACTGTGGTGTACATGAGTGTGTGAGGCCTCTGCAGTGCCTTGTGCACCTTTGTGCCATGAGCTGGTGACACACCTGATGATTTCTGCACCTCGCATGGTCTGTCCTGAGTCTCACATGCTACCAGGAGTCTGAGTTCCAGGCAACCAGAGTAGGTAAAAGCTGTCAGGAGCTGTTTGTTGAGGGTTTGCTTGCCAGGAAGAAAATGGATAATTGTAGCCCTTGGCCAGCATGACGTCTCTTCGGTTGCTCTTCTCAATTTTTCCTCAGTTGTTTTAAACGAATTTAGTTGCAAGTGCTGGATTGATAGGCCAGGAGGCAGTGTTATGTCACCAGCCCAACTGGTGCATCACAGGCTGTGGGAGAGGAAGCTATCCTGTTCTTCCTCTGCCCCATCACCTTGCTGCTGCTGCTTAAAGTTCCCACCGATAAGGGGTAGGGCAGGGTCACTTCTTCTTTATTATCTGATCACCTTGATAATAGGGATGCCTGTGGGCTGGGAGCTGGCTCCTGGCCTACCAACCAACTAGCAACACATAGGCAGCTGACCAGCTACCAGAACACAAAGGCTGTTGGTCGAGTGATCCGCCTGAGCTGGGATCAGGGCGGTGGCTGGGAGGTGAACCCATCTGTTCCTAATTCTTGGAGTCTTGTAGCTCATCCTCTGTAGGCTCTCCTTCCACCCCACAAAGCAGCTGAGCGTCTCCATCAACTAGGAGCCTTTTCCTGGCGATGTTGCCAGTCTGTCTCATGGCCAGTGTGAAAGCTGATTTCTTAAGGCCAAGACCAAGTATTTTCCATGCAACTTTAAGCAGCCACCAGCCCCAGCTGGCTGGCCTGGCATGACTAGCATGCTGTGTGCTAGTGAGAGGAAGCATAAGTACAGGGTTCACACTGACCTGGGGAGGTAATTTGGGTTCCTTGTGTTGACTGGGATTGTGCAAGTTTGAGACACATGGCCAACTGCATCAGGTGAGAGTTTATCTTCACTTTTGCATGAGTGGACTGGGACCTTTTCACCAAGGTCAGTAGCTGTAGTCAAAAGTCACCTTTTCTTGCATATCATAGCTCTGCTAGCATCCTCCACGCCCCTGTGGCTCCAGTCTTTACATTCCAACACCTCTTTTAAACAGAGACTGCCTAGTGTGTCAAAATTGCTGGAAAACCAGGATCTCCCTGCTTCTCGTGTGCTCTAGAAGCAGGGAGGTCCTGGTTGAAGCCATGTCTGTTTTCCCCCACACTCTTGCAGTTGCCCCAATGCAGCCAGTCACAGCAGTTCCCATAATCAGGGCTGTTGGCTGGTAAAATCTCTTCTGCTGTGCCTGTCTAAAAGCAGCCTGTAGCTTTCTAGTAAGCAAAACAAGTGGGAGAAACGTGGAGAACTCCTGACAGAGGGAAAAGCACTAGAAGCCAGAAACTATGAAGGCAGAAAACTGTCCCAAAATTAAGGCAAGAAGAGAGAAAGGGGAGGAGGACAAGCTGCTATGGATGGAGGGCACCTGTCCATCAGTCCTTCAAAGGAGGGGCCGGCAGAAAAGGTTAGGAGTCAGTGCTCTAGCGTTTACTAAGGAGGTCCTTGCCTATCCCAGCTCCTTGCAGTCTTCACATCCAGCCGCTGTTCCCAGAAGATAATTCCCCGTTGTCCCTCTGCTTTCTTCCACAGTACATTGGCGCTCCTGTGGCCTACATCCAGCAAATCTTCGTGAAAGCCACCGTCTCCCCCTGGCACAAGCACTTCCTCGCTGTTGATGTGTTTCGTTCACCGCTGTCCCGGGTCTTCCAGCTCGTGGAGGAGATTAGAAACCACGCCCTGAGGGACAGGTAGTTACAGTTTATGGATGTCTGCAGAAAGCGTGCAAGTGCCTGTCAGTGTTGTAAGGGCTCAGCTTCAGACGTAGTGCTCAGTGGGTCTGGGTCCAGCCATCAGGATTGAAATTCTCAGACTCTGGAAATGAGAGATGTGAGAATGGAGCTGGATCTGATGGCAGGTGGCAGGCGTCACTCACACACATCACACCCTGCCCACCAGAGCACAGCCCTATTCAGAAAGCTGTCAGACATCCTCCCGTAGCAGCCTTGGGGCCCAGGGCTGGCAGGGACTTCCCAGATCACAGAGCCTGTTCCGCTGCCGTCACAAACAACCATGGAAATCATCCCTTTCACAGACAGCAGTCCCAGCATCTCTCATGGTTGGAAACCTCCAAGTTTCCAGCTTAAATCATAATTTGTGGTTAGTGTGTACCCATTTGTCCTTGTGCCAGCATTATCCTGTAGCCTAAATCAGCCTTTTTAGACTTAAAGCACCCCTGGTTAGACTCAAGGTACCCCTCAGGAAATGCCAGCTTTTTGTTTTCACTCCTCTTTGACTGCAAAAAACACTAGAGCAATTCTTCTGTGGCAGAGAACTCAGAAAGACCATACCTGGGCAGCATGTTTCTAACACCATGGATTCCTTTTTGAAATCTCTGGGTTTATCTTGTGGATCATGTTTGGATCTAATAGTGCTAGCATTGCATTGCACCCTTGAAAAGATCTCAAGGAACCCTAGGGTGTTGCAGCCTCCTGGTTGAGCATCATTGGCTTAAATAGCTCTTCTTCCTTTCTGGTATTTACCTCCATGATGTATTTATAAAGGAGCAACGTTTGGCTAGGCTGGACAAGCCAAGTGTTTAGGCTTCCCACCTGAAGTCGTCTCTCTGTTTCTGTGATAACCCTAGTGGCTCTTCTCTGCACCTTTTACTGACAGAATTCACTTCTTGGGTGACCAGCATGGGACGCAGGATTTCAAAGGAGGTCTCACCACTGCAGTGTACAACTACATCACTGGTTCATCACTTCTACTGGAAATACTTCTCCTGCCACATCCTAGAAACTCGTTTACTTTCTTGCATGACCACATTGTGTTGGTGGCTTGTGGTCAGTCTGTGATCAGCCCATACTCCCATGTTTTTCTGTTCCTCAGTTGTTTCTAGCATATGAGTTCCCGGTCTCTCACAGGAATTGTGTTTATTCACAGATTCACAGAAGTTTAGGGCTGGAAGGGACCTTGTGAGATCACTGGGTCCAACCCCCCTGCTCTGGGTAGGAAAGACTCCTGGGGACAAATTTTAGCGTCTAATAACATGGCATTGCACTTTGTGCTAATCATTTCATCCCATTTGTGTTTCTCCAGTTTTCAAGGTCATCCAGTTTTCCTGTATGATGTCCCAAGTTTCCTGTGTGTTGACAATACCACCCACCTGTGTCATCAGCAAATTTCATTAGTGCACTTCAACTTCTGTTCCCAAAGCCATTAAAGAAAATATTTAATCAGACAGATCCCAAGAGCAGTCCTTGAGGAACTATGTCCATCCCTTTCTGCCTTATAGCTCGAGTCTCAATCCCTAGCTTAATGAAAAAGGTATCATGCAGCATTGTATTAAAGGCTTTATTGAAGTCTAGTTAGATTGATTTTACTGCCTATTGCTTACCCAGAAAATCAGTTATTTTGTCAAGAAAGGCTTCAGAACTCTCTTGCCCAAGCCATTCATTGTTGGTAAACCCACGTTGCATATTATCCCATTGCCAATTTCCCTCCATGTCTTCAGTATTCTTTCCTCCTGGGTTTGTTGTAAAACCTTGCATGCAGCGGAGGTCAGGCTGTTGGGTCTAGAGTTGCTCTGATTGTTTTTTCCCCCCTCACTTAAACATGTTATTCGCCAGGCATATGATACCACACTTGCCTTGACAGACTTATTGCTGCCAGCCTTGTGAGTTCAGGTGCTAAGTCTTCGGATGAAGATTATCTGGCTCCTTGGACCTATCAGGTTCTCTGAATGTTGCCTCCCCCACACGTGGTGATTTCCTTGTTCATTTGTCCTCACTTCTGTTAGCCACCTTGCCTTTGTCCCAAAGCTGAACAGCCATCGCTTCATTGAAAACTAAGCCAAAGAGTGGTAAGGTAGTGATTCAATTTTCTGGCTGTACGTAGCTTCTCTTCAGTCTCAATTCCATCCTCGTTGCAGTTCTTCTTTATTCCATGATTTTTATGGCAAAATACATTTCCACTATTTGTTTTAATTCCCTTTGCAAGGTCTAACTCAGCTGGGGTTTTGGCAGCTCTTGCTTTAGCCCCACCTGTGCTCCTGACCTTCCACATATGGTTTCCTTTGCTGATCTGTCTTTTGTTCTATTTCTTTCTAGGCTCCTTGCTTACACCTACCATCCTTTCTGAGGAGTTATTCGTCTCTTTAGTACTGGCACACTTCCATACCAGGTCTCAATAGCCTTGGCACTGATGTCCTGGCTGTGCATGTTTGTTTTTAGTTCATCTGCCTCTTTATCTTCCCCGTATGGATCGCGATTGGGGGATGCTGTGCGTTCGTCAGTCACCAGCTACAAACAAGCTGCTCCCTGTGTCTATGTTATCTCTGATCAGTGCGATGCCCTTGATGGTCAATGCCACTGCATGTGCCAACTAGAAATAAAGGGCTGTGTACTCTCATGGCCAGCAACAGCTGATCTTGGTAAGAAAGGTTCTCCTTTTTATAGCTGTTTGCAAAGTCAGTCTAAAAGGAACACCATATTGTTTCACATGCTCTCAGATAAGGCACACATGAGCTCACCATGGCTGATTGATCCCAGGCATACATGTCACTCACCCTCTCCTTTCAGCTCCAAAGCTCAAGCTTTAACTTTGTCACAGCTGCTGCTGAATTGGCAGCAACTTTTGGCTGAGTTTAACTGAGAACTGGACTATATAGCACGGGCCTGGAAAAGCAGCACAGCCCTCAGCATCCATTACAACATCCCTGTGCCTCCATTCCAGTGTGGAAATCAGCTTCGTTATTTAAAACACACACTCCAGTTTTGAATAGCCATATTTGGGAAAAGGGTGCACGTGGTATACAGTTTAATGCAGCAACATGGTACGTGTGATATCCTTTGGATTGTGTACTTGTTGGGATATCACATTCCATTTATTTCAGTCTGCTCCAAAACGTGTGATGTGCTGGAGCACTTATTTTTAATATGGAAAAGTATAGGTATATGCCAAAGCTGTTAGTGGCTTATGTTGGGCATTGAGTAAGAGCAGCTGCTGACTTGAAGTCAGTAAGACATAGGAGGCAGTTTTGTCAGCATTAGATTTTGGAGTTATTCGAGGCCTGGCTGCAAGAAAAGAACAGAATCCTCCCCTTTCCCCGAGTTATTGCTTCAGGTTCCTTGCTGATTCAGACAGGAAGCTTTATATCACTTGCCTGCCTGTGGTTTCCAGTTGGAATGTTACCTGTGCACCCGGGAGGGTGAAACACAGCGATTTTTGTGGAATGAATAATCAGACACAGCTGTGGGGTGGGCCACGGGTTCTAGGGCAGGTCCTGCCAGCTGCCCTGGCTATGCCCACTTCCAAAGCATTGTTCTCTTTCTGGGGAACACCTTGTGCTTGAACAGTGAAAGGGAAATTGCAGCCACTCCCATGCCCTGCAGTCCCTGGGCCTTGCACAACCCGGGGCCTATATAAATCAAGATTGAATCGTGTCTCATGGGCCTCTGATTTATTAGTGCAGATTACATAATCTTGTGCCGAGCAAGTTTTTATCTCATTGTATAGAACACATGGCACTTTTGTGTGCCTGACACTAAAGGCAGGTGCACACCACTTTGCCAGCTGGGAAGAGAGGCACTTAACATGCTGCCTAGGTGATGGGTGCCTTCCTGGAGCCTGAGTCCACAGCCTTTACTCGTGTGAACAATGTTTCATGAGTGAGGATTGCAGGTTTGTGCTTGCTGTTAAGGAGCATGAGCACATCCAGCTCTGCGTGGGAACTGGGAGGTGATGAGGTGTCTCCATTAGGTCATGCCATGGCCTGAACAGTTTCATTCTTGCTGTGTCCTCGGTATGTTTTAGAGCCCTCTGAAGCCCTTAACCGATCGTTACCCTAAACACTGTGTTAGGTTTGGATTGGCAACTGCATTTAGCAAACACAGAAAAGGAGAGGCAGAGAGATGAAGCCCAAGTTTTCTAAAGGACTCCCTGCTTCATAATGCAGAATCATAGCGTCATAGGGAAGTAGGACTGGAAGAGACCTCGAGCAGTAACATCTAGTCAGCCCCCAGCTTGAGGCAGGATCATCCCTGTCCAAACCATCCTGTGCAAATCCATAATCTAACCTCTTCATAAAACTACCATCAGTCCTGATACAAAACAAGACGTAACAGTTCTTGGGTCCTGTTTTAAAAGTGCTGAACTTTCATGACCTTTGTTTTAAGTCAGAGGGTGCTTCTACACAAGATGTTTACTGCGGAGCTCCCTAATTATCTCTGCAGTAAAGTCTTAACCATCTACACATGTTAGGCTGCAGGAAACTAATTAACTCTGTTGTAAATTAGTACTTACTAACTCAAGTACTATCCTCTGGCACCAATCTTTTTTTGCACAGGGCATGTACAGACACTGATGCGGCTGGCTGGGGCATGAGGGTGCTTTAGCCCTGCACTGGAGCACCCTTGAGCACACTTCAGCATGTTGAGCCAGGTTGGCGCAGCCCCGGGGTGGCAGACTGACACCCACCCCCCTTCCCTCCCCTCCCCTCCAGCCAGGGCTGCTCTAACACAGATCAATATGCTGTGGTCCTGGGTGCACTTGTAAATGTGGCACCTGGGAGCAATAAACTCCGGTACAGTATGCTCTGGAGTTTATTGCATCACATTAATTCCACCCAGTGGGAACTTCAGTGGCCAGCACCTCTGAAAATCAGCATAACTTTTGGCTTTAGAAATGGAAGTAACTCAGGCAGGCACACACTTTAAAACAGTATGCCGACATGTGTTGAGTGCAGGGTGGAAGTCAGGTATCCAGGTTGTAGCCGTATTGGTCTAGAAGCAAAAGGAATCAGAACTTGTGCCAGAGGTGATATCTTTTATTAGACCGACTAGATAGTTGCAAAAAATATATATATATATTTGCAGGCTTTTGGGCACAGGCACCCTTCATCAGGCATAGGAGATTGCAAAGATTGTAAAAGTTCTCCTCGGTAGAAATGAAAATTCATATTTCACAGGAGAGCGGAAGGTGTGGTAAAGTCTCCTGTTGTGTGGAAGGCAAGAGTCCATAGTAGGTTGGAGGCCTACTCCAGGACTGCAGCTCCTGGGCACTGTGATAATAAAGAATGGGAGCAGTAATAAGAGGCACGTCCTGGGTGCACCCTGCTAAACAGCTTTGTCTTTCTGACACGAGTTGTTTGCCTGTGCTGCTCCTTGTGTGACGGCTCGTGGCCTGGGCCTGTCTTTCAGTTCTGGGACCAGAAGCTTGGAGGAAGTTTGCCTGCAGGTGACAGACCTCCTGCCCAGCTTGAAGAAGCTGCGCAACCTGCTGCCGGAGCATGGCTGCCTCCTGCTGTCCCCGGGGAACTTCTGGCAGAACGACCGTGAGCGCTTCAACTCCGACCCAGATATCATCAAAACTATCCACCAGCATGAACCAAAGACACTGCAGATGTCAGCGACCCTCAAAGGTGAGAGGCCATAGCTACCAAGAGACTGGGGTGGCTACCTCCATCCTGCCCTGCTGTCCTAATGCATCTCTGAAGGCCAGTAATGCTCAGTTGAGTAGTAGGTTTTTTACCTCACAGGAGCTCTAGGATGAGGCCACCCAACTTGGTTCATCTGTGGGTTTACATCTGCGTATGGACTCGGCCTTCTAGGTGCCATGCAGATGACCTAACCCCACCCTGTCCGTCCTTACAGACATACAGGCTGTTTGCACATAGCAGGCAACTCTGGCTAACCCCATGGTCTTTATTACTCTGTTTGCTTGCATCTCTCACCCAGTCTCTTCTCTCCAAAGAGCAGTGGCTGAGCTGCCCAGAGTGTGTCGTTACCACTGATGAGCGAACATTCATTGTGTTCCATACTGTATCTCTGCTGGTTATTGCTGCTGTTCACCCAGGGGGCTTATCTCAGGCTGGGATACTGCAGGGATAAAAGTGTCTCTGCTCTTTTCATTATGCAAATTAATCTGAGGCTGAAGTCTCACCGTTCAGCGGTTCCAGGACGCCAGAGGAGTATTTACTCCCTCCTGTCTAGAGGGATGCTGGTGAGGCCAGGAAGCTTTCCTTCCGACTTCCTGAAAGGAGGCCTTGTAACCCTAACCCTCTGTCATTAAACAGCTGGTTTTGTTGAGCACCTGGAATGTGTTCAGCAATGACAGCACATCGAAGGAGGACATGGCCTTTTCCCCTGGGAGCGCAGGTTCCTGATAAACACACAAAAGATGGAGTCCCCTGGAGTGGTGTTCTTTTAGAGCTGGGTGCGTGCCTTAGTTGAAGCAGAGAAACGAGGTGTCATGATCTAAGGATAAAAGCAGGTCTTGGATTTCTCTTGAAACAAACCCTTTTATCCTAAAATCCTATGGGATCCTACAGGTTCCCATTCTCCCACTATAAGGACCTATGAAGTACCCAAGGTAACACTTTCTCCCAAGACAATTGTGGCTGATTTGAGTTAATTGCCATTCAAGCTGTGTGTATAAATGATTGTCCCTGTGCCTGTTTTATTGCTAGTCAAAGCCCAGGACAGTCAGACCTGAGATAAACCTGACATCTGTTTTTAGCCCAAGTGTCCCTAGCAGGGCAGGTTGAGTCCTGCTAGAGCACACCCCATATCTGTCACCTCTGGGCTGCATGTCAGTGCTTGGGTGGGTGTTCAAAGACCAGAAACATCTGCTCTGTGGGGGCCCTGCAGTCCCACAAGAAAGGACGTGTCCTCCAGCATCCTTGGTAATGGGATCTCATATCTGTTCAGGCCTCTTACCCACACAGGTCTTAGCCCAGTCTCATGGTGTTTTCTCGTGTGTGTTGGCAGATCTGCTGTTCGGACTCCCAGGGAAATACAGCGGGGTGAACTTGTACAATCGGAAACGGGTGGTGTCCTACACTGTCACACTGGGTCTCCAGCGGTATGATGCCAGGTAAGGAGCTTGGCCTGGGCTGCTCCCAAGTTAGGCCGTTTTGCTGCAGGGCTTGCTTATTCAGCTCTTGGCAAGTTTGCTGTTTGTGCTAATTGGCTTGTTCTCTTTCTGTATCCTGTCAGGGTTTTAGGCAGAGCTGTAGAGCACTTGGAGGTCCCGAGATGGGAGTGGGATTAAAGCACAGGGTAGAATCCACACTTTTCCATTGGACACTTGATCTTAACATGGCCCACCTAGGAGTCACAGCTGCCAGCCATTGCCTTCGTGATGTTGCCAGTTGGCCTCTGGGAAGTAGGTTTGGTTTAGTCCGGTTTCTAGGCACTGGATTTCTGCCTCCCAGTAAGACCCATCACACTGGGCACTAATTGATCCCCTTGATGGCAACCCCAGCAGAGAAAGCAGGGACTGAGTGAGCTGGAGGATGAATCATAGAATCATAGAAGTCAGGTCGGAAGGGACCTTGTAGACCTTCAAGTCCGACCCCCCGCCTGGGCGGAAGAAAACCTGGACTCAAATGAGTCCAGCCAGGTAGGCATCAAGCCTCTTCTTAAAGATCCCCAGGGTAGGAGCGAGCACCACTTCCCTTGGAAGTTGGTTCCAGCTCCTAGCCACCCTGACTGTGAAGTAGTTCTTGTGGATGTCTAATCTAAACCTCCTCTCCAATAATTTGTGTCCATTATTCCTTGTCATGCCAGGGGGCGCTTGGGGAAACAGTG